GCTTTATTTTTCTCTTTATATATATATATATATATATATTTTACATAGTCCAATCATTTTATATACATATATAAAACGGCATATCATTTACTTATTTAAATTTTAACCATTGTAATAATGTCTGAAAATTATGTTGTGGATTCTTAGAATTGAAAAAAAAAATTTCAATTTTTTTCACATAAATTTTTTTATAAATACTATGAAAACTTTAATAAATTAATTTATCAGCTCAAAATACATCAAAATACATTTAAATCAGTTCAAAATTACAAAATTAAACAAAGAATTCTTTCTCAATCTTGATTTTTTTTGGAAAAATAAAAATTCAAAAACACCTCAATAACACTCAACTCTCCAACATATTGACACAAATTTTGTTTTTTTTTATGAAATCTTGCCAACCGATGGCTTTTCATTTCCTTCACCATTTTTTAACATCTCTCTTTCTTAGCATAATTCTCCTCTCAATGCAAGGTAGAATAATGATTTTTTTTAAAAGAACTTTAATGATTGAGATAGAAAAAAATCAAATGACTAAAAAAAATAAATGTAAATACTATTATAATCTATAGTATTTCTCCTTACTTGCTATGGTGCGTAAAAACACCACACCGTTTAGATTTCTTTTAATAACACATTACGTTCTTAAAATTTATTTAGGCTTTAAGCATTTTTAAGAGAATACTAATATATATCAAACATTATTAAAATAAGAAAATATACATGGATCATTAGATTAGTGAAACCTACAAGCAGGTCCAAGTTTATTTATTTATTGACAAAGATTGGTATTTCATTAAATTAAAATTGGAGAAGACTTCGACATCTAGATATGAAGTCAACCCTAATACAATAGAATTCTCTGTATAGAAAATGAAACGGGTTAACATGTTATTACAAGGACGTCCAAATGAAAATACAACGTGAATTTTGCAAAGAAAACTGAAGATCTAAAATTCAAATATAAAAAAAATAAAAATCATCTTACAAATGGACGAACAATTAACACTTTTTTGTTTTTTTTTTATCAGTAGCTGTACTACCTTGCTCTTCCACTTGATACGCCTTTTTAGTCAAAGGATCAAAAATTAAAATATTAGCAATCGATCTCCATAAACTTTCATTACATTCCAAATACCCATAAAAGGTCAAGAGGACACAGGAAACACAAATAACAGGTAAGATCAAGACCAAGCCTTAAATTAAACTAAAGAAAATATCAGATAAGCTAGACAATATGATATAAAAAAATATTAGATCTAGAAGAAAGAATACTAAATCTAGGATTATTGAATGAAAAATAAACAAAATAAAGAAGAAGAAGCCTTGCTGTCGAAACCTACACCAGGACAACACATAATAAAACCGTAAAAGAAACCCAGATCATAGAGAAAATGAGAGTAGGTCCCAGTTTAAGGTTATAATATATTAGTTTATATTTATTTTTTAAAATTTCTCTTGATGTTTATCTCTGCTCGAGAAGAAAATATAAAAACTTTAAACATGATCTAATGAATTCTTTCATAGCGATTTTCAATACACAGTATCTTCAAATTAAGTAAACACTAACAACTTGTCTTACTGTGATACATTGGTAAATGTTGAGTTTCATTGGCATTTTCTTACAAATTCTACTAACAGAATGTAACTACACACGTATGTATCTTGCAATGACACTCCATAATTCTCACGATCATATATGCGCTAAGTGGCATTTGTATTATCTTAACTAGCCAATTATTGCTAATATATATTTAATGACAACCGATCTAATGGCATTTAATTGGAGCACATGCTACTAATTAAGTTTTGTTGGGATTTCCATAAAAGCTCTTACATCCTCCGTTGGTGTCATGAACAATTAAAATGACACAATCTGCTCTATAATTTTCATGAACAACTAAAATGACACAATCTCCTTAAAGTGTAATTAAATCTGCTTATCTACATTTTAAATTTATATTTTAGCTCATAATTTTCAAATCTAGAAACTATAATGGGATAAATGGTTCAATTTGCATCTAAATAATAAGGATATAATAGAAAATCTTTTGTAGATTCCTTAAGAAACAAGAAAAAAAAAACCCAGCCGTCATTATTTTCTTAAATAAAATCATTTTCTTGCGTTTCTCAAGGGAATTTTTGAAATGTAATATATCATTTTATGAAATAACAGTATAATTTCGGGTCAGCAAGCATACTGGATTTTTATCTTTTCACATCATCAATCTCCTAGTAAAGTAAACGTCAGTCAAATAACACATACCTGGGACTACTTTTGACTCATCATAACAAATATTACGGGAGTCGCCGACGCGGCGGATTTATCGTTCGAATCTGAAGTGGAAGGTCATGGAGGCTGAGAGGAGCTTCCATAACTTAGACACCAAGGAAGGCGACTTTGTTGACCATAGAAAGTCTACATCTCTTGTCTTTAATCATTATTATAATAAAAAATTATAGAAATATACATGCAAATAATTGGAAACCGTAGAGCACACGTTGTTGTCCCCTCCAGCATCTCAACAACAATTCCCAGGCTTCCCGTCTGTGGAATTGTTTGATTGGGGAAATGAGAGATTAAATGACCACTTTCCCTCCTCTGTGGGTCAACATTTTGTACTCGAACGCGGGACGTGATCCATTAAAATTTAAGCTTTCTGGGCTCTGACGTCAATCCTACATCAAACCGTGTCTCCATCTCCACAGTTTCTAGTTTAGTTGCATAGGATTGACCACAAAAAACATTGTTTAGTTAAAAAAATATTAGTTAGTTTCATCCCAGGTAACCTGTCGCTAAATCCCATCTTCATTGATTAATCTGAAATTATGAGGTGGTTGTGGCACGACTGGTAAGATTTTGATACAAATTTGAAGACTCGAATAAAATTTGAAGCCGTGGACTGTTTGTTATTTTGTTTATGTGGTTTATTTGTACCAACAAAATGCGCAATAGATAAATATTTTTTAATTCAAATAATAAAATATAAAATAACTAAAGAAACTAATCCTTTCAAGTGGGTTTTATTTTGTAACCAAATAAAACGATTGATTACAGTTTAAGATTTTCATTATTTATTAGATTCAATCTTATATTTAATTAAATGCGATTTTTCCAATGCTTAAATAATGATCTCTTTACTTTGTTACTCAATCAAATTATATATACACAAGAAGACTTTGGCGTACAAACTAACTTATACTATCTCTGAACATTCTTTAATTTCCTCAATAATACGATCTCTATTATTTTTTCTTTATCAAATAATATCACCTTGAAGCTTAATTCTTCTTCTCTTGTCTCATCTGGTCTATTTTGCTCATTCAAGTGTTATTTGTTTTTACATTTTAAAAATATTTAATTTTTTATTTTAAATTAATATTTTTAAGTATTTTTAGATCATTTTGATACGATGATATTAAAAATAATTTTTAAAAAATAAAAAAATATTTTAATACAACCATAATAAAATATTAAAAAATATCATTTTAATCTTCATGATTTTTCAGTTCAACCACAGTCTAAATAATTATTAATGATCACTTTACTCATACAGTTTTGAAAATCTTTTTGGCCCTTGTATTTGCCTATGACTGTTTCATCTATCTCCTGGCTCTTCCAATTAGAAATTTGTATGAACAAAATTTCCGTTTTAAGGGAATGTTTTTCTTACCTAGTATTTGTTCTTTTAAGATTCTCATTTCAAAGGATCAAAAATGGCAGTAAAGATCTCCACTTATTATTTGTGAAACAATAAAAAGGACTAGAAGGAGTGCACTCGCACATTTATCTTTGATTTTTGATATTTTTATATAGACTTTTGGTACATTCTACAAAATATTGATATTTTTATATAGATTTTTGGTACATTCTACAAAATATTTTTATTAAGAAGATATTTAAAAAGATTGTAATAATTATTTTTTAAAATAGTTTTTACTCTTTAATATATTAAAATAATATTATTTTTATTTTTTAAAAATTATTTTTAATATTAACACATCAAAACGATTAAAAAACATAAAAACATAACTATAAATACAGTTTTTTTATATATATTTTACCCAACCCAACTCGAAACCAAATTTACTTAAGTTTCAACCTCATTAACAATCACCCTTTTTTTTTAACATCAAATTAACAACATTAACAATTACCTTTCTAAAATTTAATTCTACTCATCCGTTGTCCAGCATATCCTTAGTAAAGATACGTGTGGCATTCTAGAATCATGCACAATAAGCGCCGGAGATAGGATACAAACCACGGGAGGGCTTGATTGAAGTAAGTGCCTGAGCTAGGATATAAACTATGGGAGGCCTTGATTGGATTGACCTCTATAAATAGTAACTTGCAAAATATCTTAATATTTTATTTGAAACATCAGCATCTTAAATATATACACGAGAAATAATAATATTAACAAGTAAATCTTAAACTTACAAATTCTCTGATGTAGTGAAATCTTCTGGGGGGTGGTGTTGCTTACGTAATAACGATCATCTCAAAACCATATAATACCAACGACACATATGAATTATTTTCAAGTTTTTCTATTTAAAAATAAATTAAAATAACATATTTATATTTTTTAAAATTTATTTTTTACACATGAAAACAATACTAAGAAATTAATTTTTTTTTCAAAACTCCCGGACCAAACACCCCTTAATGAACGGGAGTAATGGTGATCAGGAGAAAAACCGAGATTATAACCTAGTCATCATAAAGAAAAAATAAAAATTGTATTTGTCCAGGGGGAGACAAGAGAAGTGGTGAGATTTTGACCGTGGACCAAAAATGAGAAAGTATGTTTCGTATTTGACCAATATACTACTTTAAAATTCAAATAAAAAATAATACATCATTATCAATTATTATTGTCCAAAAACAAAGAAACAATCGAAGGGAGAGGAGAAACTAAAGATAATTGTCTTAAATAATTCTTAATTTTTCTATTGCCCCTTTAAGTCGTTTGTTGATTTAATTTAAATAAATAATGGAATGAAGCGTCGTAATTTGGTGAGACTGAGATTTCTTTGCTTTGATCTTTCTTCTCTCTCTTTCTGTATATATTCCATAAAAAAGGAGAGCGAATATTATTCATTCCCACTTCCTCCTTCCCGTTCATTGATTACGTTGTAGACTAAAGAAAAGCTCTTCAATTTTTATTTTTGCTGGATTTTAACACCAGCTAGAGAAACGAATTCAATTCCTACCCTCCCCCCCTCCTCATCAAAGGCAAGGAGATGAAATCATTTAGGAAACTGAGAGGATTTACTTCACTTCACAAACAAGTAGTACATAAAAACCCAAGGGATCTTCCCTCTTTCTCTCAATCACATGAACTTGCTAAAGCCTCTCAGGTACTTCTCTTCACTCCTCTCCCTCTCTCGTTCTTGCTTTGCCTCGATTTCGCAGCAGCCAAAGACGACTGCTGCTTCTTCTTACTTAAATAATTTACATTTTGTGTCGGTCAATTGCAACTTCTTTTTTTGTTGTTGTTGTTGAATAGATAATTGAGGATTTAAAGCTTAATTTGATCTGATCAGAGTCTTTTTGAGTTTGTTTGGATAATAATAATAATAATAATTGTAATAAAGGGAAAGCGTAAACATTGAAATGATTGGTTTGGTTAGTGAATAGATTATGTATAATTACTTTAATAAACCCATTATTTTAAGCTATATTAATGATCGAATGTTAGCTACTTTTTTATGTGCTTGTGATCGCTTGGGATCTGTTTCTTATAAAATTTGGTTGCTTTTTATTATTTTCAGGACATGATAGATATGAAAGATTGCTATGATAGCTTACTTTCTGCTGCCGCTGGAACCGCCAATTGTGCCTTTGGTACTCCTTTTTTTCTCGCGCCGCATTTTACTTGAATTCCTTGTATTCTTTTTCCATGGATACCACCGTCAATTCATAAGAAGGGGCATCGAGTTTGATATTCTTGTATCGGCCTGGGTATTTACAGTTTTACTAACACTATCATTTGATTGTTAGTCCACTAATGCCATTCTCCTTTCCCTTCAACAAATTGTCTTTTGCTTAAATAAATGAAGCGTAAAACTCGCATTCATTTACTAAATTTTTTTTCTTTTTCTGGAAGGGGGAACTTGAAGTGTGAAACTAATAATGATAATGTTTTGGTGGAAGGCCTTTATTGATAGTTGGTGGTTCAATTAGAACGAAGTGGCAGCCATATAGTCCCTTAAGAAATGAAGCTTGAAGTTTTTTAAGGCAATGTTATACTATAAATTTGAAGAAGTCTCAGCTCCCAGTCATCAACTAACATCCAATGGCAACATTGCAAAAGCTAATTATTATGGTTCACAGAACAAAATATTTAGAAAGGAAAGGCATAGTAGTTGCGATTAAAATATCGTATTAGCTTTGTTTTGATGGCCCTGGGTATGGAGTTATTTAGATCACATGAATCATGTTTTGAGCATGACAATTACTCTGCAATGAGTGAGTTGGAGGTCTGTGGAGCACCCAATTTCATGAACAAACTTGGTACATAACAAATGGGCAAGAACTAAATTTTCGCATAACACCGGTGATACATAACATAACTGAAATCAGGCAGCCTTTATCGTTACAAACCACTTCTGCGGCATTTTTTCATTTCACACCACCACAGCCTATTACATAACCATAACCTTTATCGTTCCGAAAACCTCAGTTTTGCAGCCAATTTGTTTTTTATTTTGTCATTGATAGTCTCCAACAACTCTTCACATGCACTTTTAATTTTGTTCAGTAATTTCACCAATATCAATCTTCACTCTTCAGATTCTGCATCTAAACTAAACATCCTAGTGATCATTTTAAGATCTAATCCAAATACCTCAACTCTCTTCCAAATTTGATTTTGCAAATTATTTGTACAAATTAAGAATCAACAAGATTATGTGGCATCTTATATTGCTTTTTTCTTTTTTGTGATATTAATTACTAAATGTATTTACTACAATGGCCATTTGTTAAAATTATTAAAAATTATGTTGAGTGCTTAACAAGTTTCTTAAATAAACCGTGACTGTTATGTGATACCTGGGATGTTGTGACTCAAGATATTATCCAAAAGAAAGTCATCCCAAAGATTAAAACCTGTTTTGGAACCTTAAATTGCAATAGATTCCCACCAGATGAACCGTGACTGGCAGTAGCCTAATTTATGCACATGTGGCATTTTCCTGCATTTTAGCTTGCTGTTGGCCTTTTGGTTTATAGATTGTGAGGATTTACTGAGGATTTAAAATGAGTTCGTTAGTGAACATCACAGTGTTTTATGTGTTGATTTAGAGCACTTGTATGTTTTGAAGGATCCTGTTTTGGTGTGTAATTCTAGAATGTTCTCACTTCTGTCTTTCCTCAGAATTCTCAGAATCATTGCGTGAAATGGGTGCTTGCCTTCTTGCGAAAACTGCATTGAATGATGATGAAGAAAGTGGTAAGTGGACAGTTTTGTTCGTCATGATATTGCTGTTAAAAGTTAAAAGAAAATTGTTAGTGGGGACTAAAACTTCTTTTCAGTGTTTGTTGTAATATCTGAGTTGCATTTCTTTTGTATAGATTTATTGACATTTGCAATGAAGATATAAAGCTAAACCATCCCAATCCTTTTCTACTAATTCTTACTTCAGAAAATCACATTTGACTGAGATATACTTAACTCACAGTCAATATTTTACTGTCTTGATACATGCTACAGATCCAGGGACCTAACTAGAGTTGTTTTCATGAGCCTGTACTTTGGAAACTGTGTTTTTACTAACATCTTTGTTTTATTGAAGTTATGTTCAAATGGATTCTGCTTTCTCTTCCTTAAGTTGCTAGAGAATTTACTTGTGCATTTGTTACAGAATCAACAATCTCACCTGTTTTTTCATCAATTTTAACTGAAGATACCATTTCAAGTTTCAATTTTCAAAAAGATCATGGTGATACATTCAGAAAACTTTAATGCAATGATAATAATTGGTCTTTAATTCAATGAATTTGTTCCTTTTGAGTGCATATTCAATTACATATAGTTGCATTCCAAGAAGGTTATAGGAAGTGAAGCTGAAGTTGGCTCTGTTTTCTTTGCAGGCAGGGTCTTGCTGATGCTGGGAAAAGTGCAATTTGAACTCCAGAAACTTGTTGACTGCTACGTGAGTTGTTGTTTTGTAATAAAAATTGCTAAGATTCCTGGCTATGTTGTGGTACTGATTTTTAGTCTGATATTTCCAGCGTTCTCACATAAATCAAACAATCATAAGCCCGTCAGAGTCTCTTCTGAACGAACTTCAAACAGTTGAGGTCAGTGGTACTTTTTACAAGCTTTCACTAACTTAGACTATCTATAACTTTTCATGTTAAACTATCTTTAGAAAATGCTTAAATTCTTAATGATTGAAATCAGTGCTCACACTTAAACATTTATTTTATTATTTTTTCTATTATCTTGTATATGGTAGTTAAAGCATTTTACTGGAGCAGTCGCTGAAGACTTTTTTCATTCATACAGGAGATGAAGCAGCAGTGTAACGAGAAAAGGTTTGTGGTACTATTTCAAGCACCTTTCTAAACTTGCACCTGCACCCACACACTCAAAAAAAGAAAGAAAGAAAGAAAAACAAAAGAAGGAAGGAAAAATCAGAAACAAATAAAAAGAAAAATGAAAGCCCTGAAATTTGATATAAATATCATCTCCCCATGTTACTTGGTTTACAGAGATGTATATGTGCACATGGCGAGACAGAGAGAAAGAGTAAGTGGAAGAAATGGAAAGGGAGAGAGTTTTTCTATGCAGCAAATACAAGCAGCTTATGATGAATATGATGAGGAGGCCACTTTGTTTGTTTTTCGTCTTAAATCCCTGAAGGAAGGACAATCTCGCAGTCTTCTTACACAGGCGGCTCGGCACCATGCTGCTCAGGTTTCTTTTTCTCCAATCAATTTTGTTTTTAAACCTGTTGGTTTAATAGTTAATTCTGCTTCTTTCTTGAAATCAGCTGTGCTTATTTAAGAAGGCTCTTAAGTCTCTTGAAGCTGTTGAGCCGCATGTCAAATTGGTCTCAGAACAGCAGCATATAGATTACCACTTTAGTGGACTTGATGATGATGGGAGGGATGATGATGATTATGATGATGTCAATGATGATGGAGAATTGAGCTTTGACTATGGACAAAATGACCAGGAGCAAGAAGTTTCCAAATCAATAAATTCAATGGAGGTAAGACTTTAATGCACTTTTCATCAGTGGAGCCAATCAGCTTACCATTTCTTTTCGGAAAAGCAACTATAATGCATTGTGTTTTAGGATTTTATGAATAGCATTGCCTTGTAAAGGAGGAAATTTGCACAATTCACTTGTGGTTTCTAGTGCGTGAATTCTGGATTCTAGGATTGACCTTTCTGTGTTACCTGTTCATGTAGAAACTTATTCAACAGGGCAAACAATTCAAGACGATCTTTTATAGTCACTCGTCATGATTTCCATTTTTTTCTATCAATGCATCCTTCAACTGAAATTTCTATTCCATTTTAACTTCAACTTGCTGTATAACAATTTGTGCAGTTGGATTTAGAGGACATTACATTTCCCCAAGCTGTGACATTGGAAATGGCAAAGGTAAACCTTCATATTATGGACTTGGGTGTTCTAAGTGATCATGCTGATTTCATATCTGGGTAATGCAATTGTAGGCCTGTTAATGAGGATCTAATCTGCCTGGCCAGGCTTTCTAAATCTGAGAACTACTATCATATTTCACCATCCTTGCATGCTTGAACTTTTTTTTTAAAAAAAATGATTTGTGTGCTCGAACTAATAACCTGACAAAATCAGCATGAAAGCCTTAGCATGGATAATCTCAATAATAAGTAACGTAATGGAACACAATACATGCCATATCTGCTCTTAGTGTTTCCTTCTATTAGATAATATTATTTATTCCTTTTGGATATCCACTTGAACTTGTATTTATAGATCTCCCATTTGAGTAATTGAGTTGGGTTGGATGAGTTGACAGATACATAGACTTTCACCCTTTCTACTCATAGAGCACCGTGTATCTTGCTTTATTTCAGCTCTAACATGAATTTTTGCTGTAATCTATTTCTATAACGCAAGACCAGGACATCAGATCTTTGACTGATGGTGAGTTTTATGCTTCTCTTTGGACTGCTTGCAGGAAAATCTAGTTAGAAGTTACAGCACATCGTTTCCTATAAAGGGAGAACTTAGTGGAGGCACCCAATCAGCTCCACTTTTCGCTGAAGTGAAATCTGATCCAGCTGGAAAAACAAAACGACTGATGCCATCATCCACACGAAAGTTCAACACTTACGTATTGCCTACTCCAGCGGACCCAAAGAGTTCAAATTATGCAGGACCTGGTAGCCTGGTTTCTCAAACATTAAAGCCAAGTTTGAGTGGGCGTCCTCTGAATTTGTGGCACTCATCCCCTATTGGCCATAAAAAAAATGATAAGTTACTAGGAGTTGAAATGTCTAGCAAGCCCACTGCTATAAATTCGCAGTCAGTACTCAAGGAGAGCAACAACAACACTGCATCCACCCGATTACCTCCTCCTCTAGCTGATGGACTTCTTTTTTCAAGGCTTGAGCCACCGGCTCCCGCTGAATCTAAGAAAATAAAAAGATATGCCTTATCTGGTCCTATTACATCCCAGCCATGGTCTACAAAGGCAGTCTCCTCAGAACATCCACAATTGTTCTCTGGACCCCTTTTGCGATATCAAACAGCCCAGCTATTTTCATCACCTCCGAAAGTGTCTCCAAGAATATCACCAAAAGTATCTCCTAGTTCTTCCCCTCCATTTGTGTCCTCACCCAAAATCAGCGAGCTACATGAGCTTCCCAGACCCCCAGTCACTTCAACCTCCAAGTCTCCAGGGGCTGTAGGTTTGGTTGGTCATTCAGCGCCACTGTTTCCCAAAGGCCACATGCTTCCTGGTACAAGCAAAATGTCAACATCAAATGTAGAATCTCAACTGCCTACACCTTCTCAAGTTGTCCCTCGCAGTTTTTCAATACCCTCTAGCAGACATAGAGTAATGGTCGCTCAGAATTCAGGGATTGTTGAGAATGTTGCCTCACCTCCTCTAACCCCGTTATCTTTATCTAACACCCAGCCATCATCCACCGGTTCCCAGATCGTCAATCAGACAGTTCAAATCAGAGGTAATTCATAATCCAAAGCATTTGAATGGTTATTTAGTTTAGGATAAGTTATGCTCGTGCATCACCATCTCACTGGGATTATTAGTTCTGGGGGTTAGACTGATCGAGGTACATTTTTGGATAGCATAAAACCATTCTTATACTAGCTGAAGTCCCAATGAGAACAAGCTGTATGCATCTGAGAAACTCTTGCATGTTTTTTCGTCAGTTGCAATTTCTCATTTAAATAATTTATAGAGATGCATAATTTTAGTTCCTTGATAGACATATACATGCACCAAATGTAAATGAACTTAGTTTTTTAATGTATACATGCTCATGCATCCAATGAAAGTGGTATCATTTCTAAATCTCAGTACATTTGGTCAATGCAGGTGCAGTTTGATTCTATTCTTTTATAGTGATAGCTTTGCTTTAAGTTCAGCAGCAACCAAAATTTGAGCTCACACGATTCTCGCATCATTGGTACAGTTGGAGAACTGTAAATATAATCCTTGTCTACTGATTTCTGGCTTGCAATGTCATTTTTGTTAATCTGTTGATTTTTATTTTTTTTGCTCTCCTTGGAAGCAATATCCCAATTCCATTTATTTCTTGTCCTCAATTAAGGACCATTTCGCATAACAGAGTTGAGTTGTCTAGACTGTGGACTCGTGGAGTGCTAACCGGATAGATTATTCTACATTTCCCGTTATGTATCATGTTCACTCGAGTGATTTCGCTGTCCCAAAGCAATCATGCTCTATGATGTTCACCGACTTGCCAAAGATAAAAAAATAAAGACCTCCATTTCTGAAAGCGGAGGTTCGTTCCCTCTCTTTTTATCTCCACCATCTTGTTCGGTGATAGTAACCGCAAGATATGGTGACTCGGAGATTCTACTGTTTTTTTTCTTTTTTTGATGGAAGACGAGAGATTCTTCTCGTAATAAAGAGGATTTCTTGGTGTGACTTTAACTAGATGCATCTAATAATTAATTATACGAGTAAACAAGCACACAACCGTTGCCATATAATGAGTTAATTAATATATGGAATTAGGTAACTGCCTCTTAGTGGCCTGTTATTTACAGCTTCCGGCAGCACCGTATCTCACAAATCCCAGCAGTTCCGGTCCTTCCAGTCTTGAGTTATTCACAAAACTGCTTTCGAACAACCAGTACCAAGGAAAGAACAATTAAAAGACACTTCCAACAAAGAAATTAAACGAAAGCTTTTGATTCCAATGAATCAGTCTGTTTACCTTTCCTCCGTGAACTTGGAGAAAGAACCTGAGGCAGGTATGGTGCCACATAAATCATTGTTCGACACGTCACTGCACAGAGAGGTTAGATTGTTGGACGGGCAAAAGATTGTGGAGAAGAAAAGGTGATTTGGAGATCACAAAGAAGACTCACATGATCTTTAGACTCTCCAATTTGGTCAGTTCTCTTGGTATCCTTCCAGTCAGTCTGTTGCCGTTCAGTCTCCTGCGTGGTAATTACGTGACACACCAGGCAAAGATGGACCATCAGCAATACGTTAGCTAGGTCGTCATAAAAGTGAAAACGAACCTGACAATATTAATGATTTTATCCACTTGATTCTGATCAAGCATCTGTAAATGAAAGGGTAGGTAATTAAAATTAACACAGATCTGAAAGTATGCTTACAGGAATTTAAGATTGGAAAGCTTAGAAAGTGAAGCAGGAATGGTCCCAGTGAGGTTGTTGTGATATAGATCCAAGCTCACAAGGCTCTTAAGGTTTCCAAGCTCCCTTGGTATAGGACCCACCAGTTCATTCATGTACAGTTCCCTGTATAGGGAACATAAACCTAACATTAGTATTGTTAGCATTAAACTCTTAGCACACTACAAATCATGTCGAATTTAATGCTAGAATCCATTTGATCACAAGTCCACCAGATGGTAGGTGAGGTGAATGTTGTCTTGATATAGTCCTGGATAAAACTAGCAACAAGCTGATTAACCACTAAAGAACCCTATCGACCGTACTCGATTGCTAAAATCCAGTTAGTTCATAGACTGATACAACCCGATTTTGCTTACATTTTAGCCCAATTTGCTGTGCTCTTTCAACGAATTCAAATCACTTAAACATCAAGCATTTTGATGGTTAATCTATGTAGTCAAGAAAATGAAAAAAATGTTTTTAAATTCTCTGGATAGTTTGAAGTGCTTACAGATACTGAAGACGGACGAGCTTCCCCAAATCAGGAACCAGACTGCCTGAAAGCTTTGCGTTTCCAAGGTCTCTGCAACGGCCAATATTTTAGTACTCACTATTTATTACTTCTATAATTTGTCGAGTTAATTACTTCCTTGACAATTTAACAGATAATTATTTCTGTTTTTTTTACAAGACAGAATTTATGCTACTCTTAAATTTACATGTGCATGTATGTATATAACAACTTTCATGTTTTTTTCTCCCTTTCTTCTCCTTTATTACTAGCACATCAGAGTCACACAACCTGTTTCAAAGAGTTTGAGTTGTAGAAAAGAAACAAAAATGAGTTAAGGATATGGTAGTACTATGATCTTTGAACATCATGTCTGAAAAAGTTGTCCACCCAGGAGATCATCATGTACAAATAGATGTCACGCACCCATGCAGATTAGTAAATTTGGTCAGAAATGAGGGGCTTGTCCCAAGTGCCTAATTAGATGTCTTGGACTATTTAAGGTCTAAATAATTGTTTTCAGAAGCAAAAATACAGTCATAGTTTTCAAATCTTAACAACCAGACAACACACAAACTACAAAAATGAAAGCAAACATGCACAGAGGCTCAAATAAAATGTGAAACAAAAAAGGGAGAGATAGGGATACTGCAAGATTAGTAGTAAATATACGTATGGTGCTTACAGTCGGGTAACCCGATTATCACCATCACAGGTAACGTGGAACCAAGTACATGGATCCACCAAGTTTGGGTCCCAGCTCAGGAGAACATGCCCTGGATCCTTCACTGCTCTCCTCAGAGCGTACAAAGCATCCCCTAGTTCATGGACCAAAAGGTTAAAATCACAGTTCAATTATACTCACAGTTGGTGAAAAATGGAAGAAGAACCTATGCGTACCTTCTAAATTTGCATTTGTTAGTGCTAGAATGATTGATGGAAGAACAAGAACGAGAAGCTGTAACACAGCACAGCTTGCCATTTAGGGAACTTTAGGCCTGGGTAAAGAGTCAAGATGCTTATGGCACTTTTACAGGTTGATGGGGGGGGAGAGAGAGTAAAGAGTTCAGTAAGTTTGTATAAAGAATGGAAGCACAAGGGAAACAGCATTTGTCGGGGAATTTATAGAGCTCATAAAAGAGTTTGGTTACTGTGCATTAAGAAAAAAATAAATAAAGGGAAACAATTTTCTCCACTGCAAAGTTTTTATGAAGTGGGTCTATCTCTTCAATTGTTTAGTTGCTCTGTCTGATGCCGCCTAGAGTCCTTGCACGTTCTAAATTACCCTTAGTCATTCACTACGTGGACGATTCTGTCCTCATCACCTGTGCAGTGTCTATATTCCTATTCCTTTTCAGCCATTGCTGGCCATGTCAGATCTTGGAAGGTAGGAGAGCAGCAGCAGAGAGAGACCTGGCATAAAGCAAGACTAGTCCAGTTCACTGAGGACCACTTTATGGTCCTCATACTTGACCGACCATGACACTTTAGGAGGGTATACTTTAACAAAAAAAAGATGCAAATTCAATCAAATTGAACTATATACCTACTAATATCTTGCATTTGGATGCATGAGGAATTTTCTACTTTATGTTCCACAAAGTAAGGTTGAAACTCGAAAGAAGCAAACACGCATGTGTAGTGTTCACTAGCCATGTAATAATGATAATCGCAAGTGAAGACTTCTCTGTTAATTATCTTAGAGTTAGTAGTGATTGCTTTTTTTGATAAAATTAGTAGTTGTTAATTAATTATGTAATTAGATTTAATTAAATCCAAGCACCAAGCAGTTTTTCAATGCTATTTGGTAATCATATTTTTTTTTGAACAAATCATAATGACAGTAGCTAGTCATAGAGATTGCAGAGTGCTGCGTGCATGCAGCGTCGGAATGAGCGAAATCAACAAACTTTTTTTTTTTTTTTTGAATAAGAGAGCCAAAACAAGATAGAGGAGAATATTTGAGACTCATTAAGCTTGTCCATTTCCCACTTCCAAGTTTCAAGTTCCCCGAGCATAAAAAAGAATATTTAAAGCATGGATTTTCTTAATGGTTATATACGTTACGAACTTCTTTTTTTGCGCATCTTAAGAGGTGTTAAAAATATAGATATGGACAAGTCCGAAGAGCATAAGCATAAGAGAATAATATCACTTTGAAATATATATATATATGTTGTGGTCGAGCAAACGCCTCCTATGTTTTATTTACTGTTTTCCTCCCTCTAGGTGCTTCAATAACGTATATTTAATGTGTTTCGAGAACTTAAATACATGCTGTAGATTCGGCACTGAGAGGCCCATTTTCAGAGGAGTAGACTACTCTCTCAATTCACTAATGGCAAAGGAAGCATCGTTCTGGTAATTAACCAATTTAGAGGAGATTCGTTGGCTCTCGACGAGAGGCCCATTTTCAAAGGAATAGACTACTCTCTCAATTCACTAATGGCAAAGGAAGCATCGTTCTGGTAATTAACCAATTTAGAGGAGATTCGTTGGCTCTCGACGAGAGGCCCATTTTCAAAGGAATAGACTACTCTCTCAATTCACTAATGGCAAAGCAAGCATCGTTCTGGTAATTAACCAATTTAGAGGAGATTCGGTGGCTCTCGAACATTTTTCATTTTTCTATTCTTGTTAATCCAACAGTCTTTGCATACGATCGAGTACAGTTGTCTTTGGATAGATATGCAATATGGTCATCTGGGACCTAAGTAATCCCCCTTTCGTACATTTAGAAAAGTTTCAATAGCTCTGAAATATTTTCTCAAGTTATAGAACAATCAATAGGAGCCTAGCCCAGTTATGTCAGCAATACTCCTGGCTTCACTTTAAAAATGGGAGGTGGCTGTTCGGCTCAATAAACGGAGATAAACCTACATATTAATTAATGTGTTCGTATTAATTAATCACAACCTTTGATATTTTCTTTTTAAAAAAAAGGAAAAAAAAATTCTTGCCTCAGCAAAATAACAGTGTGTATATAAGTTTCATGGTTATAAAATCCATTCTAATTTATTACTTATCAGTTAAACTAATTAATCAAAATTTTCTTGAGTTCGAGTAATACTATTTTAAAATTTTTTTAAAAAAATAAATTGAATTGCATGTAGTGTTTTAATTGCATGGATCAAGTTATGAGTTGACTAGCAAATCCTACCAAGTTTAACCAACTCAAATCCTAGCACAATTTAATACAAAAATCAACTTGAATTAAATTTTTAATTGTGTATCAAACCTTTAAACCAATCAAGCTGAAACAGATTTAATAACATCTAAATTATTAAAATCATGAATTAACTTATAAAGTCAAAACATAATTATTATGTAAAATCACTTTAAAAACCAATAAAATCAAAATGAAATCGTTCTCCCTCAATGAAACCTCTCAAAATCATTCAAAATCATGATTGTATACCTATTTTACGGTTTCATCGCCAAACTGTCTTTAATGCAATATGAGGTAGAATTAGATTCACCATTGACTCCATGTGAATGGAATCAATGAACTTTCTTTGTCTTTATCACAAAAGAAAGAGTGAAAACACAAAAGGGCATGGATCCTGTTTGCTCTCATTACCATTCTCTGCGTCTACCCAGTCAATGTTGTGCCTACATATCCAATTAACCATCTTCTCTCCTCGGATGAAACCTATCTATCCTTTCGAACGTCAGAGAAAATGCTAAAAGAGAAAGAATTCAAACTATATCAGCAATGCTAAGATTAAAATTTCAAAAGTTTCAGAGGATGATCTTTCCAAATATTGATTCTTTTTTATTTCCATCGCGGTCATTAACTCGGAAGTAAAGTGTTGCTTCTTGGGTTGGAGAGGCCCTTAGAAGTTGCGGCTAGCTGGTTAACGGACCACGTCCACTAGCAAGGAGGAGATGGGACTGTTTGGTTGGTGGCATGGGAGACTCGTCTTTTAAAGTTTGACATAATTGCTTGTTTGGAATTCTGCAATATTTTATTGTGTTTTTTTTAAAGTATTTTTATTTTAAAATATATTAAAATAATATATTTTTTAATTTTATTTTTAATATCAATAGATCAAATGAGTTAAAAATATTAAAAAATTAATTTTAAATAAAAAATTTAAATTTTGAACGAACACAATCATTATCTTACTAAACAGGTTTTTAATTCATAGTTCTTAATGCACTGCAAGTTTTGACTTGGTAGTGGGAGGAGCTTGTCTCCTTCTACTGCTTCTGGATTCGAGTCCTCATGAGCACGTCTGTCACTCCCGTAGTGCTTTACATATTTACTGAATTTATAGGGTGTTTGATAAACTATAGAATTAATCGTTGTATGCATAAGCTAATCTAGATACCAATGTAAATTAAAAAAAAAACAATAAAAAAATTCTTAATTCATAGTATATCTACACATGCATGGCAGGGTTTTCATTTAAACCGTGACAATCTATTTATACAGCAGCGAAATTTTATTCGTCTCCTTATTCTTGGTTTTATACCAATTTAAATTTTTTATTTTTAAAATTATTTTTATTTTGTTGTTATTTGATTAGAAAATCTGGTTGTTATTAAATCATCAACTATATGAAATCATATCATGTTTTTATTTTGACATGTATAATATAAGAGTGATTTAAACATTAAAAAGAAAGCAAAAGTAATTTTAAAAATAAAAGATTGACATTAGTAAAAAAGAAAACGGAAGGCCAGGCCAATATAAAACAAAAGGTACAGTAACTCGCAAAGAAGATTTTAACCGTTAGTGGAAATGACACCGATGTTTACAAGAGTAATAAAAAATATTTTTTTAATATTTTTTATTTAAAAATATACTAAATATTTTTTTTTATTTTTTTTCACATCAAAATAATACAATAATACTAAAAAATAGTTTAAAATAAAAAATAAATTTTAATAAAAACTAAGTTCTACCACAACTGTAAATAGGATAAAAATATAAGAAAAATCATTTCTCCTTAGAAAATTATTATCTTAATATCAAAATAATTTAAAAATATAAAATATTAATTTCAAATATAAAAAATCAAATTTTACTTTACTATCATTTGGAATGCAATACTAAACAGGGGCTTCAAGCACTTAGGTTTGATTAATTGTTTTTTAATAATATCAAATATTGAGGTATTACCAGTGTGTTTTTAATAGGATATTTATCATGAATTTAAAATCCAATGTACATTGGGTAATGTATTTTTTAATATTAAAATAATAATATATTAGATATAAATTTTTTAAAATACTTAAACATATTAGATTGACATGTAATAATTTTAGATAATTTGCTAAATCCACGAGACAACAATAATTTTATAAAAAACAAGTAAAAACAAATTAGAAAATTAATTCTCAATCAATAAAATATTAAAGGTTGAGATTGAGAAATAAACCATTCAAATATTCTTTAAAATAATAAAAAAAAAATATATTCAACTTGGTTTAGTCTTCCAAGCCCACGACACAGGTCATGAGAACACGATAATTATATAAAAAGAAAATATGAAGTTCAATTCCTCACAAATCTAATATTGAATGATAATTTTTTTAAAAAAATCTAAATAAACCTTGATTAGCTTATCAATAGGTTATGAGACATGGTAAGTCCATGAAAAACAAAAAAATAAATCACAAAACCCGATGCATAATCAATTCAACGTTAAAGGATAAATTTAAAACGAAAGATCAAATAACAATAAGTACAAAAAAAATAACCCAAGTCTACCCGAGATAACTTGTTAAACTTATAACCATGATCACAGTACTAAAATAACCCTATAAAAATAAATAAATAATCAATTAAAAAAATAAATAAAGCAACTCAGGTTTATTTGCTAACCTCATGACTCGATTAATGATATTGAGATAACTTAGTATAGCACAAAAAAAAAAATCACTAACACAATTATAAAAAAACTTAAGTCGTGAGCTAAGTAGGTTGACTCAATTTTTTAGTTTTTTTTAGTTTTTTTTTTTTCAATTTCACATTTTCATATTGAGTTAATTAGGAACAAGATTTTATAATTTATTTGGGTTTGCATTATATAAGGTTATTTCGATCTCATAATCCATGTTTAACAAATTGACTCAACTTATTTTTCTGGTTAAATTTTATTTTCAATTTCATATTTTATCATTGGATTAATTAAGAATTGAATTTAATAATTTTTTTTATTTTCTTTCATTATAGTTATTAGGGTCTCGTAACCTAAATAATAAATTTAACAGGTTA